CTACCTACCTACCTACCTACCTACCTATCGTGTTCACTATTAACTGCAGATTTCAGCATCCATAGGGGGCTTGGAACCAATCCCCAATGGATATGGGGATCCTACTGTATGCAGTCTGACCACATCCCCTTAATATGGATTGGAAAGGCAATCTACTGTATGCATACCCAGAAACATTTTTTAGAGAAAACATATACAGTATTCCAGAATGCACCCCTTTCTTTCCAGCCCAGTTCAGAAATCTGGCGGACATCACCCACAGTGACTTGTGTAGGGCCAAAACAGAACATTTTGGTGCCTAGGTTGGACAATTAAATTGCACATTCCTTCCAAATAACCAATGTTGTCCACACAAATCCTTTTGCAAAGCATGACTCCTGTTGACTGCAGTGGGGCTGGTACAGAAGGTCTTCTGGGTGGATAACCCTGTCTTCCACTCTGCAACTTTTAATGGCTGCCCTGGAGATGACACCCGGGGTAGCTGTTTTGCTTCATCAGAGGGCTTCCTCTTCACTCAGAATAATGTTATTGAAGACCTGGGAATGGCAAACCCTCCTGTTTCCACCCCTTGCAGGTCATAGTGCAGAGGTGCCTGGCTGGGAAGAACCTCACCCACGTCAAAGCCGGTTGCATCCTCTGCGGCTACCTCAAGCTGTTGCCCATGTTCCTCATGGTTATGCCTGGCATGATCAGCCGGATCCTGTATCCAGGTAAATAGTTGGGGAAAGTCCATTGTGAGGCATCCAGAAGCAGAAAAACCCAATGGGAGGTTGTTTGGGAGAAGAAGTTGTAGGACAGTCTGTCTGAAACAAGCAATGGTTATGGATAAAAGTATTTTGGAGGGCAGGATTATGGAGAAAGTTAGGGAGTGTTTGTTGCTTGACCCTATATGTCAACACTATGGGAAAAACCCTCTTTACTCCTTCCGTTTGCCCAACAATTATTTGAGCAAATAGTTGGACAGTTACTAAGCTTTAGCAAGGAAGTATCCAGTTAGAACAGTCTCTTGCACAAGAGACTGTTCTACGGGTGGAAGCACCAAACAGAATGTTCACCTCTTCCGAGGTGGGGAATTGTGGCCCTCAAAATTGGACTGTACTTCCCACAATTTTGGTTATGCTCCCTCTGGCTGCTGGGGATTGCTGTCCAACAGAGCTGTTGGAGAGCTCTGTAGTTGGACCCAGAGGTTGACAGTTCGATTCCCCATGTGCATCCCCAACAGGGGCTGGACTGGATGATCCAGCTCTGCAGATCTAAAATTGTATCAAAGAATCCTACAACAATTTAGCTTTCCCTTTGTTTTCGAAATCCTGGAGACCCACAGAGATTTGTGACCATATAAGAATGCACTTCTCAGCTTTGGGCAGTGATTCAGAAGCTGGCTCTTAGGCTGGTAAAACCAAAAACTCCTTTAGAAAAACAATCTGAGGACAGGAAGTGGTGCACACCTCCAAACCACAATTCCGTGTGTTTGAACATGGAACCGATGACTGTCGGCTGCTGCCTTTGCCTTTTTAGACGAAGTGGCCTGCGTCATCCCCGAAGAATGCAAACGAATTTGCAGCACGGAGGTTGGGTGCTCCAACATCGCTTACCCAAAACTGGTGGTGTCCCTCATGCCAAGTGGTAAGAGCGAAATTGAGTTTCATGTCAATTTCAGTAGCTTTCTTTGTAAACTAAAGGTGTGGGTGCGGCTATTCAAGGGCTCCCAGAACCTATTCCTTCAAACGTAAGCTTGAATTCTTGCCAGCTCTTTCTATAGGGCTGAGTGCTAAACTCTAGGAAATAGACGCAGACATTCATTCTCTCCTCCCTGACCCCTTTGTCAATCCTTATAGGGCTCCGGGGGCTCATGCTAGCCGTGATGCTGGCAGCTCTGATGAGTTCGTTGGCTTCGATCTTCAACAGCAGCAGCACCCTCTTCACCATGGACATCTACAACCGCATTAGACCGCAATCCAGCGACAAGGAGCTGTTAATCGTGGGCAGGTGGGAAAGAGAACTGGGCAACCTTCCCATCAATTTAGCGTGATACTTTTCAGCTGAAGACCAGTGGATAGTTTAATTAATTAATTAATTAAGACATCTCCCATCAGTACCAGCAAGCATTGTCAATGGCCAGACACGATGAACTTGGAATCCAGGCACATCTGGAAGGCCAAACATTCCCCACCTTTAAGCATCTAGCTGTGGGGGTCAGAGATTGAGAGTTCAATTCCCCATTATGCCTCCTTGATAGGGACTGGATTCAGTGATCCATAAGGTCCCTTCCAACTCTGCAGGTCTAAGACAATAACAATAAATCTCCATATGACTTTCTAAGATGACCATTACACAGCCTAACCAAACATTCCTAATATTTTTGTCCTATAGACCAGTGGTCCCCAACCTTGGGCCTCCAGATGTTCTTGGACTTCAACTCCCAGAAATCCTGGCCAGCAAAGGTGGTGGTGAAGGCTTCTGGGAGTAGTAGTTCAAGAACATTTGGAGGCCCAAGGTTGGGGACCACTGCTATAGACATCTACTGCTTCCTCTTCTCTAGCTATAGTGGAATCACAGTGCACCAATTCTATAGAGTGGACATTAGGACTGTTTCAGGATCTGTTCCTTATAGGAACCCTGGGAAATGTAGTTTTTTTGTAGATCAGTGGAAGGCCCAAGGTTGGAGATCACTGCTATAGACGTCTGCTGCTTCCTCTTCTCTAGCTGTAGTGGAATCACAGTGAACCCATTCTATAGAGTGGACATTAGGATTGTTTCAGGATCTGTTTGTTATAGGAACCTTGGGAAATGTAGTTTTTTGTAGATCAGTGGGGGGTGTCTTCAAACTGCACTGCTTGTGATTCTTTGGGGGATGTTGTGACTATTAAATAGACATAAGAACCAGGTGAGTCCGTAGCACTGAAAACCCAGAAAAGGGATCCCATCTACCAGCCAGAAACCTCTCACCTCCCTCCCTCCGATTAAGCAGATCTCTCTTAATTTCCTCTACTGTCCACCAAGGGATACAAGCATTTTCACTTGCTCCATGACTCTCCCTAGGGTGTGGATTCTGCTGCTTGTGGGAGTCAGTATTGCATGGATCCCAGTAGTGCAAGCCGCTCAAGGTGGGCAGCTCTTTGACTACATCCAATCTATCAGCAGTTACTTGGCTCCTCCTATTGCTGCAGTTTTTCTCCTTGGCGTCTTCGTCAAAAGGGTCAATGAGCAGGTGAGTGAATCCATATAGAAGCTACCTACAGCTTCTTACAGAGATCTAGGCTGTCAGGGAACACATGCAACTGTGCTTAAAGAAGTGGAAAATTTTAATGAATGGGTACCAAATAATTAGCTGCAACACAGAAGTCCATGGGATTGGAAACACAGATGTTGCAGGATAGAGTACTTAACTGTGGGCTACAGCAAAGAGGGGTTTAATGCATTTATCCTCCAATAGGTATCAGACCAGATGCTGTCAATATCAGGATTTCTCCCCATCCTCCACACCACACAAGACAGCAAGAATTCGTAAGCTGGAGCTTTCCACTTCAGTGCTAATCTACCACTAAATGATGTTCTCTGCCCGGACAAGCAGAGAACTTATTTTTGAAGTTCCTCTGAATTATTTTTAAAAAGAGTTTTTAAAATAAAAGATAACTGAATTTTGAGGCGAACCAGAAGCGGGCATCCTCTGCCAAAGACTCCAGTTGGAAGGTTTCAATCCTAGCGTCATAGTCCACTAGACACACACAAAAAGATAATTATTTTAAAAGCACTATTATTTCACTAAGCAAACATACACCAAACAAACAAGCAAACCCAGAGATGTTTTAAAAAGGTCCTTTTCACGTTTTATGAAACATTTTTCAACCATTTCTGAAGGGGACATTGGATTTCTTGAACAGTAGGGTTAAAAAAAAATAGTGTGAACATAAACCCCCAATAATCTCGGCACTGATTTGCTACTGGCAGGGCCCAGGAGAAAAATGTTCCATCTGGAAGACAGGATGACCTACATTACGCAAAAGTTTATTATTTTTTATTGCGATTGTTTGAAAAACTGTCCGTTTGAGCTGCGAGTTTTCAAATAGAAGCTAGAAAAACTTACTTTCTTGGCATACAGATTGCAGGTTTCCCTGCCTAGCTTGATCAATGGGATTCTGTAAAATGTATTCTAAGGAAGACACACCTTGTAAAGCTGTGCTCTTAGTTTTAGGGAGTTTGAGGACAGGAGTTTGGGGGGGAAAGAGAGCTGAAGCTGCTGTCAGAGCCGTTCCACCGTTCACGGGGCAATTTTACTCCACTCCTCTCTCCTTCAGGGCGCATTCTGGGGGATGGTGGCCGGACTTGCCATCGGCATGGCCCGAATGATCCCAGAATTCTTTTATGGGACCGGAAGCTGCCTTTTCCCCAGCAGCTGTCCCCGTGTGATCTGTGGCATCCACTATCTCTACTTTGCCATCATCCTGTTCTCTGCCACGGCAGTCATTGTGATAGGCATCTCTCTCTGCACCCCGCCTATCCCTGAGAAACACGTAAGTATGGAGGGAGTGGGGCAGGAAGCAACCTTAACAAACAGACCATTCAGCACAAAGACTTAAAAATGTGAACGTGTGTTCTGGAATAAGTACCTCGTTGCCATAACGGATTGAAGCCTTTCCCTTTTGTAAATTTCCTGCCCCCCAGTGCTGCAGCCTTGAAAAGCCCACTTTAATTTTTATATGATCTTCCTTTCATTCATCCTCTCTATCCCACTCGTGTAACCAAGCACACACCCCAATCTTAGTTTTTAAAACTGAACATGCCCCCTCGTGTCTTGTACTAGCATTTTAAAAAAAAAGCATGGAGACTGTCAAAACATAGCAAATCCCCCCCACCGCACCCCTAGGAAGCAGAGGGACTTTGAGTGATCCCTCTCCTGGTGGAGATGCTTGGAAGCTGCGTTTGGACCTAGAGGGGCATACAGTCCCCAAGCTGAATTTTGCCTATCCATGGCTTTCAGAGGCCTAAAAAGCCTCTTGTAGCTGTGCTGATGGTCAGTTTTCTCGGTAGATAAAAGGTGGGGAGGGGGAGACCAAACCCTGAGGAAGTGATTTTAGGGACTGCTTGTGGAGCTCCTGTTGACCACGCTAGCCTTAGTAGGAAGGGAGCACCTGAGAATCTACATTTTCTTCTTTACTATTGAGGCGTAAATCTGTTTAGAGTGGGGATGAAGAACAGATGGGCCCTCTTGCAAAACTGCCTTCAAACTACAGTACTTTACTTAGGGGGCTCTAAAGGACTACAGTGCCCAGACTCCCTTAGCACTCAGGGGGTTGGCTAGAGTGGTTTGGAACTGCAGTCCACCCACATCTGGAAGAGTGTATGTTTCTCAATCCCCTAATACAGAGAAATTAGAGGAGGGGAGGGGAACACAATGGAAAGAATCATAATAAAGGAGGAGATGAAATCTCAAGAGCTGTAGAGAAATAGATTTTATTGTCTTAGCATATTTTTGAAAGACACTGCTTCAGGAACACTTGAAAAACACCGCAGCCTTCTCTAGGTATGTCCTATAACAGCTAGTCGTCGTTGAGATTTCATTTCACCCCTCCATTTCCTCCCCCCCCCCATTCACACACCTAAACAACTCTTGTCTTGCCACCTCAGCTGCATCGCCTGGTGTTCAGCCTTCGGCACAGCAAGGAAGAGCGAGTCGATCTCGACACAGAGGAAGAGGAAGAAGCCAAAGAAAAGGAGGCCGCGCAGCAGAAACGCCGAGAACAAGCCGAGAGGGCAGCAGCTGAGAACGGAAAACTGGAACATGTATTGGAAGTGGAGGGTATGTAAGGAGGCGAAACACATGAGACAAAGAGGGTCAGGCCATCCCTCATACTTGATAAAGTGACTTTGGGGGATTCCAACTCCAAGAATACTGGATGGACTGGTTCTAGAGGCCATTGCAGGGACAAATTTTCACCCAGCTGTATTCTGACAGCCCAAAGTCCTCCAGCAATTCTTAGGGGGCTTTGCTTTTCTAATGGACTTAGTCATAACCTCATAGCGGATCTGGGATCCAACTTGGTCCTCTTACCTGTTGACTCTTTTTCTCTCCACGCAGACACCAAGCGTACGTCTTCCCCTGGCAGGCTACGCGAATGCTATTACCTTCCCACCGAGGTGGTCCCTATTGATCTACTTGCATTTGCATGCTTTCGAACTGCTAGGTTGGGGGGAGCTGGGACAAAGCAACGGGAGCTCACTCCGTCGCGTGGATTCGATCTTACGATTGCTTGGTCTTCTGACCCTGCAGCACAGGCTTCTGCGGTTTAGCCCGCAGCGCCCCTCCAGTAATTCTTAGGGGGGCTTTGCTTTTCTAATGGAATTAGTCACAACCTCATAGCAGATCTGGGATCCAACTTGGTCCTTTTACCTGTTGACTTTTTTTCTCTCCACGCAGACACCAAGCTTACGTCTTCCCCTGGCAGGCTACGCCAGTGCCTGGCCTGGTTCTGTGGAATGAATAGCCAAGAACAGCCAGAGCCGAGCCCGGAGGAGAAAGCTGAAGCCCTCAAGCGTCTCACAGACATCACAGAACACCCCATCTGGAAGCGCGTCGTCGACATCAATGCCCTCATTATGATGGCCGTCGCATCCTTCCTGTGGGGCTACTATGCCTGAGGGCCTTTCCACTATGACAGCCGCTCACAGCAAACTCTTGACTTCTGTCCAACGGCCCCATCTGTGTTCACCACACAATCTTCAGCCACCGAAGAACAGTGGCAGCCACTACATCCATGACAGCCAGCCAGCAGGATATTACGGTTACAGCGTGGGAATCAGATCTAGCTTCAAGTTCCCACTCAGTTATGAAATTCACTGGGAAACTATGGACCAGTCACTCTTGCTTAGTCTCATCTACCCCATAGGGTCCCGGCAAGACTAAAGCGGGCAGGAGAACACTGTCTGTTGCCTTGTGCTTACTGGAAGATATGGAGGCTACAAATGTAATAATTAGTGAAAATAAACAAGCTGGGAGTAGTTTTGGCTAAACTGCCTCGTAGTTCAGTGAAGGCATTCATGCCGGCCTTTAGGTGCCTGCAGATCTTGCTCCTCCAGGCCCACACCCCAAAATATTCCCCCAGGGGGAAAAAAAAGATTGGCTCTTCTGGAAAACCCCGTTTTCAAAACCAGATGTGGCTTTTTCGTCACTTCTTTGCTTGTTTTGATCTTGGCCACTTGAGGTAATTGTGCGGGCCATGGATGATCAAAGCACTGAATTCAACTGATGTAGTACAGACTAACTGTGGAATTAATGGCTGAAATCTAGCAGAATAAGGCAAATGAATCATTGCAGTTTACAGGGGAGTTAACTCACCAAATCCCCAGCGGGCCTACTCTAGTTGAAACTTACTACTGGATTTCAGCCAATATATCGTTACTAGTTACAAGGAGAAAGGTGGGGTAAAAATATTTTAAATTAAATAAAATTAATACCGTAGATGCTAAATTTGAAACAGTTGATACTGGACACCCTGCCCAGTTCTCTGGTGCCATCTTCCACCCATCTGTTCCAGAGAGATCACCCCCAGCGATGACATATCTACAGAAATGGGCAGAATTTTGTATGGTTCACATTTTTATTGAAACTTTATCAAATGAATGCAGTTATTCTTCAACATCCACCCTCCTCAGAATTCTGCAGTGCAAATCTCCAGAAAAACAGATGGGACATAGATATATGTATAATAGGGGGGAGGGAGCACAAAAGTAAGATTAGTAGTAGGAAATATATAAAAGAGAATTATATTAAGGAAATATGCTTGCAAAGAAAACGTGTGCATTGGCAGTATTGCGTACATGTATTTTTGAAACTATACATAAAAATTCATGCAAATTGTCATGTGGACTTTTACAGGACAATTGCAAAATGACAAGGAAGTTGATAGAGTGAATTTAAGATATAAAAATTAGGAACTGGGAAGATCAAATCTGATAGATTAATCCCTTTTTGGATATACAATGGCTCATGTGGAAGAGATAAACCAAGTTATTGGCATGTGGGTGAAATTCATATTTATTTTAGGCAACTTGATGTCTAGGATTTTGCCATCTTCTTATCCAGAGCTTGGGAAAGTTTCTTTTCTGGGCAGCAAACCCCCAGCCATGACCATGCTCAGTGGGGAAACTCATCCAAAAAAGTACTTTGTCCACAGTCTTGTATTTTACGTAAGTGTCTTCTATAAGGTGTTCCGCCTTCACAACAGCTTGTCCACAGTAACTTTCTTCCTGATTATACATAAGCACCTTTCCCTCCAAGTCACATGTACTAATATGCCTTTGTATTCAACACTGTCCAAAACTATTATCTGGAATTTTGGTACCTCTCAGGCCATGATCCTCAGTCCTTTTAAGATCTGGGTTTGCTGAGCACCTCCAGGATCTTAACAGAACCCATTTATGATCGGGTTCTTCTAAAACCGGTGACAGCGCCCTCATTTTGGCAGGAATAAGAGTCAGAGACGGCTTTGAATGACCAACTGCTTCAACTTTATTAACATCAACTTCCGAACTAACAAGATTAAATGGATTGAAACAGCTTAATTCCGGGATCGTCTTGTAACTCACAATCTTTGCCTCTGGGGTCAAAATGTCACTTCTTAGATAGGAGCTGGACCAAAGCCTTATCCCTCTCTCAAGGGGTTTCTCCTCACTGCACACACCGTCCCACAACAAGGATGTCTCACCCAGTCCCCTTCTGGCGGCAGACTGTTGTAAGAGGGACTGGGACGGATCACTTTCCTCCCTCCACCTTGATTGCGGGGGTAAACCACAACTGTCCATTCTAGTGGTTTCACCCCCTTTCCTTCACCTCTAGGTAAGCCTGGATCAGGGAGCAATCCCCCTCCTGTCTTTAGATTGGGAAAATCTCTTAAGGCACAGACCTTACTGGACGCCTCATCACTCCCTTCTGTCTGTACCGCGCTGTCTTTTGTACCTTTCTCTATCTTGTCCGTTTCCACTCTGAATTACCACGTGTCACCCCCCTCTTCTATAACCTCTTCCCACACTATCAGATCTTGCTCCTCCCCTTTGTCCCCTTCTTTCTCTTCCGCCAAGCACACCTCCACTGCCTTTCCCTCCTTCACTTCTTCCTCTTCTATTTTTACGAGTACGCCCTCTACGCATCCACACGGTTCCTCCTGTACATCTTTGGCTGAGGGCGGCTCACTAGCCTCCTGTCCTTCACACCATTCTTGAACTCAGACATAAGAGTTAATCCATTTATTATTCAAAACAGCCTAGTCTGAGACCTTTCTGATGTACCCCATCCTCCAGGCATTCAATTCCTGGAGATTAGAAAACAAAAACAAGATACTAGAAAACAAACACAGCTGGAAAAGCAGACATTGCTTTTGTGTGATCTAGACCAGAGACGTGGGATGGGGAAAGCAGTCATTCTGTTTTGAGTGTGTATATAGATACAGGCCCTGACTGTGGGAAATAAACCCAACATAAACTAAGACATGGGAGGAAGAATTCCCATAATAATTTATATCCCATTATACATTGGAGAACATCCTCAGGTCAGGTGGAAGGTCAGGGGAAAAGGAGCAATGTGACCAACAGAGGCTTAGAAAAATACACATGAAAGCCACCCACACAATAATAATAGTGATATTTAATGTTTATATAATATTACACTTCCCTCAAAATGTTTGAATGCTTCTTGTCAAATGTATATAAAATGTTTATTTTTGCCACTCCCCCTCCAAAATCAGGTATTTTGGGAGAAAGGACCATTTTTTCCCCAAAACGATGGTCCCAAACAAGCTTGGATTTCAGTTTTCAGAAGTCCTAACCTGCCAATGGTCTGGACTTTTGGAAGTTGTAATCAAAGACCACACGGTGCCCCAACTCTGGGAAATATTGAGATACCCCGCCAGCCCCTCTCCTCTATTTTTTTTCTACCTCCTCTAGTCTTGCCAAAGCAGGCCCAGCTGCTCTTAGGTACTGGCATCACCATGACAACCAAAAGACACATATCACATCCTGGGGATCAAATTAACCTTAAATGTCTCCCTGCATCAGAATGTTTTCTTCCTAGCAATGGTCCAATCCACACGCCATTCCTCAGGACCTAGAAGATTGCGATCGATGACCCATCCTGCTGCCGTCAATCCTTTGAAGAAAAAGATGGATCCAAATTGAAGGAAAGGGTTGAGGTATGCATAAGTACTAATTGATCCATCCATCCATCCATTCTCCAGAGCAACAGCAAAGTAGAAGCTGGGCTGTTTGTTTGTTTTTTCCTCTTTCTATGCAAGTGTAAACAACATTAAAGATAAAGGAAAAGCCTACCCTTTGCTTTCATTTTAAAAGAAAGCAAGTTTCTAGTCCCTGTGACAATAAAAATTAATTGGAGAGAAACTTGATAAAAGAAGTCACAACGGTCTTTAAATTGGAGTAATTCTTTAATTTCTTTTGCTATCCAGCAGTAAAGCTGAATAAAATTAAACAAGTCACTAGATGCAAATTTTTCCGAAGTAAAGTAGTAGTGAAATCCAACTCTTTATTTGTGAAGAATCCATATTACTGGTTTCTTACAAACTGTTTTGTAAAGGCCTCAATACCTCTACCACATACCTGTGAGCAATTTGGGAAATATCCTCTCCAATAGCTGATGCGTTTCAGAAACCACAGCAGAATCCTGGTTGCTCACTTCTAAATGACACAGGAAGGAAGGCAATCAGCATATTGCCTACTCTGCAGGACGGCCCAAGAACAAGCAAGGCAAAAAGGACTTTATTATGTCCAATGTGATAACGTTGAACGGCCTGCCTTAAACCCTCAGGATATGGTATAAATAAAATGCCAATGAAATAAACCAGCAAATAAGGGAGCAGACCGATAGGAAGGCAAAAATCCCTCACGAAACATCTGCACAAAGGGTAAGAAGAATGCAAGGCACTGCCTTCCACTGAGCCAGTTCAGCAACCTCTATGAGGAGGGGCACCCACTTGACAGGATCATACCCCCTTCCCACCTCTACTCCTTATGAGCCTTTAGTGAAGAGGCCAGGAACTTTCTAGAGCTCAGTGGGTGCCCAGCTACACGGAGCTACAGGACTGTTTTCCAAGACTCCTTCCCACCCTTGCCCTTCTTCCCGATTGAATTCATCGTTTGTCACCTTTGTGTAGCTGATGCTGTAGTTTCAAGAGAGACTCTTTCTCCAAGATGCACGAGGTCACATCCCAGTACAGCAGGGCTTCGAAGATGAGAGCATGGGTGCATGCTTTAATCACATCCACACTTCCTGCCTGTCGGTGCAGGAGAATGGAGACAGCACCTACAGAGGAGAGAACAAGGATCCTATCCTTTTCTGGATATTTCCCCCTTTCATAACCACATAAACATCTCTCTCTCTCTCAATTTATCCTCTAACAGAAGGCAAATCTACTAGAGTTTTATTTTCAACTTCACATGCTGTCTTTTTTTTTTTTTTTTTTTTTTTTTTTTTTTGGTGACTGGAAGAGATTTTTCTGGACTAGGATGATTGGGTCCCTCATTAAAAAATGGTTCCTTCCAGCCTCTGAATTCAAAGAGCGCCTCATCTCTCTGCTAAAAGTTCTTCTTCCCTCATTTCCCTCAGCTGGAAGCCATCAATTGTTCTGTTTGCTGCTGATCAGTTCAGCTGGTTGCTAAGTATGTGTGTGGTAAAGAAAGTAGCATACACACGTAAGTTCAAGCAACTGTATGTAAAAAATGTCTCAGAGTGAACTATTGAGTCTTTAAGTGCCAGTTAATGAGAAAGCAGTGGGTTCTGGGAAACTTGCAACTAATCTCCTCTGTGGGCCTCTGTACTTCTACTGTGTAGTAAAAGAGAATTTTACCAGAAATTCAAAATTCTGCAACAGCATCCAGAGCTTGGAAAAAATATTTCTTTTTTGGCGGTAAGTAGTTAATTGGAGGCGACATGTGTGCATACCCCCACATGCTTTTGACAAATTAGTAAACATATGGTTCTGAGGTCCACAGTGGCAGCAACCGCACAGTCATTCAGCACTACATACAGTGATCCAGGTTCTTCTCTCTAGGGAGGAAATGGAGGGCAGCAGAAACACTCAGAGGAGTCCTAGAGCTCTCTGGGCATCTGCTAAGAGTGTTCTCCAAGACAGGAAATCAGTTGTAGCAACTACTTCTAAGTGGACACTTATGAGGGGAAAGTTAAAAACGAACAGCTGGGTGTGTGACTGGTAGCAGTCGGGGAACTCACGATGGGAAGGACACGTTATGGTGGGATTTTTGATGTTGAAATTAATTAAATAAAAAATGAAATTAATTGCCACTGATGGCAGTGAGGTGAAGCTTGGTGGTAATAGGAGCTCAAAGGTGACCAAGCCATTGAGCAGACTGCCAATTCTGCTTTGTAGACAACAGTCCAGGACCCTATAATTCTTTGTCCAGAATCAAATAGGACAATATAGTTTTATCTCATTTGTCCTTCCACGTTCACAGGACTGAGAAAAGTCTGCCCAGGAAACACTTCAATTTCCTGTCACTTTTACCATGCGGCTTTCTTATCTACTTACCTGCATCTTGGCTAAAGAAAATTAAGTGATTTGTAGAGTTTCCTTCAAGAGCACTTTGCAAATCAGTGACCCTGGAAGAAATCAGAGAAAAAATATATTAATAAGAAGCTCAGGGGCCCATCTGTAGGGCTAACCTCTGTGGGTCGCAGCTTCAAACTATTTTGAGATTATTCTGGTTTTGTCGCAAGAATATTCTAGAAAAGCTTGCACCTACAAATGTTCCATTTGGTGGAATAAATGCATCTGTTTCATTTTAAAATCATCTATAAGGAATAGCCCAAGGGGTGGTGGTTTCAAAATAAATAAAACCATCTACTCACGATCTATGATTTCCTCATCAGGATGAAGTGAAAGGGGCACCTATTCATTGCCACTCACCTGGATGCCACTGTGTGAAGTGGAACTCCAAGGGTCACTCTGAGCTGCTTATGGAAGCCTGAGTTAGAATAACAACAATCATCTTAGAACTGCAGAGCTGGAATAGACCCTATGGATCATCAAGGCCAGCTCCCGTCGAGGTGGCACAGCGGGGAATCGAACTTCCAACCTCTGGCTCTGCAGCCAAAGACCTAAACCGCGGAACTATCCAGCAGTTCATGGAAAGGCAAACTTTGGATCTGTCAACCTCAGACTCCACATGAAGCATCTGTCTCTCACTGAACTCAATAGGAAGTGAAAATATTGTACATACTGCCCTTGTCGCTAAACCATCCTGTCCATATTGCCTAGGGTACAATGTGAGTCAGCACCCAGAGCACGCCAGCCTTGAGTGATAAATGACGATGTAAAGCGAGATCTGCAATTACCTGGCAGCAGAGGTTCTTGAGGATTGGTAGCAGCAGGACTTGGCACTATCCCATATTGCAAGAAATGGCGCAAGACTAGACCGAGCCGGGCACGATTGAGGGTCTCCATACAGACAGCCCGCACGGCTTGGTAATTAGCGTAGAGATGCAAGATGGTGAAGAGACCATAGAGGAAGTAGGTGAGGCTGAAGGGGGGGAAATGTGAAAGGAATCAGAGGATGTTCTTACTCAGGGGTGGGGAACGTGAGGCCTTCCACGTGTTTTTGGATTTCAGCCTTCACCAGCCCCAAGCAAAGCTGCCCAAAGGGGTCAGGGATGACGACATATAAAAGGTCTGCCCCACTTCAGGCCAGGCCTTTCCGTCCCTTCCTATTTCCCATCCCTTTTCATCTCCTAAGAAAAAAGAAGCAACTCACTCACCAGAGATTATCAGCCACCAGTGGGATGAGGAGAAGACTGCAAAGTAATCCAGCTAAGTTCACCAATGTTTCCTGAGGAAAAGAGAAAGCCCGGACAAGGCAAGCGGTAGTCTCCAAGGCTTTCGAGATTCCCTACCTCATCACGACGTGGCTGACTCCAACACACTCACCTGGCTTCCATCTTTGGCTGAAACATCGGCCATGTTGTCCCGTCGGGCCTGATGCATAGTAAGGGCAGCCCGGGTGGCACCCCCAGCAACTCCCACAATGCACTAAATCAGAGAGGGAGGGAGGGAGGGAGGGAGGAAGGAAGGAAGGAAGGAAACTTTGTGGACCACAGACTGCTTGGTAATTTCTTCAAGCTATGAGCAAACTTCTCACCAAAACCTCACAGCCTCAACGAGTTGTCCCCAATCATGGAGAGAACTGCCCACATCTCTTTCCAGGTGCCAAGTCAATCCTTATTCCCAAGAATGGTTCACAGGACGGGTCACACCAAGACTTCTTCAGTTATACACCTAACCCTTACTTATTTCCTAATTATCTTCCCCCAAATTCATTAATAAGCTGAAAATCCCACCAGACTTCCTTCCTTACCTTGAAGAAGCCACTGAGGCACACAATGAAGGTAAAGCATGCCGGGAAGGCTGGGGCTAAGATCTCCATTAAGATGGCCACATCATTGAGTATATCAGCAAACAGCCTAAGGAAGGAAGGTGTGAAAGGTCAGCCTTCTGGGGTCAAAAAGCAAACCCATGCCTACCAAATGTATCTCTAGGTTTAACACTTATTTTTTTCAGCGTGGGTACTCATGCTGTACACTGAGTTTGCATTTAATGGTGGATAATGGAACAAAGAGTCAGGAAACGTATCACTTGGGATTAACACAGAAGGAAGCGGTACCTCCAGCGCTTGGCATCACAGTCCAGTTTGCTCCTGGAAAAGAAGAACAAGGCAGGAACAAAGAGAAAGCAACAGGCCTTAAAGATCAAACTGAGAAAAGAGAGTGTGTGGTGGCAATCACATGATCAAACTAGGACTAAGGAGACATCCTTCTCAACCCTCAATCACATGTATAAAATCCCCCAGGTCACTTTGCAGCCACCTCCTGTCTCCCAGCCCGGCCTACCCGCCAGGGTCGTTCTGCAGATGACACAAGAGAGAGACTAGGTCACCCAGAGATCCTTAGAGGAAAGACAGGTACAAATAAACACCTGTGCTTCCTCCCGCCTGTATTTCCTCAGCTAGTCCTTCAGCGCCGAAGAGAGGAGGGAAATGGGACTCACCCCTTGCTCCAGGCAAAGAGAATTCGGCCCAGCATTCCTGTCCCATCTGTAACAGAGGGGGAGGGGGGTTTACACATGAATGGCCCTCATAATTTGGAACCAGGCCCAATGAGGCAGACTCTTCCGGGGACTGGTTGGGACACACTTCGAACCCGTCGGTCATAAGCTCTTGAGGGGACAGGACAAGGCGGGAGAGGAAGCTGCAGGCAGGCGAGATGCAGAGAATTAGCAGACAAAGCTAGAGACTCAGAATGATACTGAGACGATTGTTGTAGTTTGAGTGGTCCTCGCTTTGCTTCAGAGATGGGTAGATTTGCAAGAGGACTCTGTAGAACCAGTGGCAGCCAGGCTTTTCCTGCTCAGACTTAACTAATCTCTGAAGGAACGATATGAGCCTGGAACCTGTAATGGGGTACAACTGCTGGGTCCATATCTATGCAATGTTCACAGGTGGACCTTCGGCCTTTCAAAGGTTCAGCCGCCACATAAAGCAGGCGTGACATGAAGGCTTCAGCAGCCCCGATCCCCATGCCAAGGCAATTCACATCCCTGTGGTGGAGTCCAGTTCAAAGAGGCCATGGAGAAAGATAATTAAGCTCCCGGTTCCCTTATGGACAAGCAAACCTATCCTTCTTGGTGGGGTTTTGGACTATACAAAGGGTTTGAAGGCAGAGGAACTACGAGCAGGTCGGGGCTGTAGGGGAAAGATGGGGGAGCAATAAGTAAGGAAAAAGGAAGCTTTGAAAATGAGGTGAGGTGGTGCTCAAGAGGTCCAGAATTTAAAGTGGGAGTTCCAAACAAATGTCTCAAGATTCTTTAACCACATAAGGGGAAGAGATGATGGGAGGAAAGAAAGGGCAGAGAACGGGCTGTGGGCAGGCCCCACCTTTTAGGATCCAAGTGACGGTAGCGGCTGTGACAGTCGAACTCTCATCCCCGACTCCCACGCCTTTCAGCACCGCCCGCGTGGCCAGTGTCCCCGTGATGCTACTGGCAAAGGCCTAGAGTTTGTGGGGGAGAGAGGCGGACACTTCTGGCAGGTGGTGGAATGCGTTTTCCCTATTCATCACCTACAAGTAGCTTTCTCTTGATGTTCACTCAAACCCCAACCCATCCAGTCCCACATTTTTTAAAGACTTCCTTCAACGGTTTATCCTTCTTGCAACTTAAAGAAAGACATTGGCTTTCTGGCTTTTGCTTCCACAGCTGCAGATAAAGAGGGCGTGAGTCCCCTCATGTCTCTTTTTAAAGAAGAAACAGACCCCCCCAGGACAAAATGGTTCCTTCCTTACCTGCACTGTGTCCCAGATCTGGTAGGCAAGGTAGTCTGGACTCACACTTTCAGGGTAGCCTTGCGGGAGGAAAACTGACTGCAAAAAAAGAGAGGAGGTGTAATTTGTGTGCCTCCTCTCCACCACCCCATCCCACCCATGACTCTGCCCCCTTTTAGCTATTCTGCTGGCACATCATCACGCCTGGAACAGCTACATAGGGAGAGTGTTTTACTGGCCATGTAATCCGTCATGTGGGCAAGAAATCCCCATAGTGGGCAAAATCCTGCTGCACAGCTACAGAAGGGTAAGGGAAATGAAATCACTGGCAGCAGCAGACGGTTGCTAACCTAAGAGTCCCTCTTTTTAATTTTGGCTTAAATGCAATGTGATGAAGTCCCATACAACCTAGAATCAAAAACAAGGACTCTTTAATTAACAGCATCTTCCCCCTGGTAGCAACATCAGGAAATGGTTATAATTTCAGAAAGATCCTGTAAGAAAAAGGTACTTCAAAGAAAATTATGCAAGAAAGAAACCTTAAAGGAATACCAGTTTTAATTACATACTTATTTATGGTGTGTTGTGTAACCACCTATAAAGGAAAGATCCTGTAAGAAAAAGGTACTTCAAAACCCAAGGTTAAGAACCACTGCCTTAAAGGAATACCAGTTTTAATTACGTACTTATTTATGGTGTGTTGTGTAACCACCTATAAAGGTACCCTATGCATTCTGGAATTCAGACTTCTATACTAATGCCTTAACTTGTGCATGCATTGGTTTCTCTGATGGGATTAATGTACGTTTCCTGATACCTCACATTTTAATATGCCTTCTGGCAGATTTTTGAGAAAAGTTTCCAGAAAGGAAATAGAATATAGCATCTTATCATAATTGATCAGTACTTCTTTTAAAACAAATACATAAACAGCAAGGTAAAATTTGTATATGTACATGTTGATAAATACAATAAAATAATAACTTCAGCCTTTAAATGCCTACTCACCATGAAGATATCCCGCAGCGACTGGTATCCTGTATCTTCTGGTCTATCCGGGATACAGCTCAGCCTCCCATCAGGTAAGGCATGGTAGCGCTGAGCATTGCGGGAACCATATGTTTCCAGGCACAAAACGTGGACTTCCAAATCCGCCATGGTTGAAGGAGCCCCCGAGCTGTTAAACGCATGCAATCTGCTCTTATCTTTATTCTTGAGAAATAATGAATCTGACTTCATGGGATGGTGGCCTTCTGCGGACTTCCATCACAGCAGTTTTGAAATTGGGTAACCTATCACTTTTGGGTTGTCTGCAGAGTCTGGGCAGTTTTAGGGCTCAAATTTGCAAAATTACCCTGAAGTCACACCTCACCAATGATAAACAATGGGCAAAATCCTGTTAGCATAAAGTCATGCTGCATAAACCAGATCTGGTAGCAGAATTATTTAACTCCGATTAATTGAAAGCTTCTTGTCATCCCAATTCCAGGTTCTGAGGCTTTGCTCTGCCCCAAGGAAGCCTTTCAGAGCCTTGGTACCGAGGGTGACCTTTTAATGGTCAAAAACTCTTGCCAGATCACCAGCAGCAGTCCCAATCCCAGTGGTGGCGATCCAGCAGGTGTTTTTTGACCATTAAAGGCTTGCCCTTACATCCCAAAGCTCCAAAGGCTTCCAGAGGACAATAAATAAGTTTGCATTTAAAGCTGCCACAAGCTAGCTGAATAGTTCAGTGAGCTGAAGCACCCTGGACGCAGCCACTGTGCCTTGCAGAAAAGCCACCTGGGTAGCTTTTTACAAGCTATACACCCTGCCAGAGAGCCCCCAAGAAGAAGGGTCTAGGAAACCACTTCTGAGTGCAGTACTCTGTATCTAGAAAACCCTGGAAAGGATTGCCTTAGGTTGGAATTAACCTGGTGGCATATACTGTAATTATTATTGCTGGGTCTGGAAGTCTACAGTCGGACAACTGGACGAATTTCACCCCAAGTATTCCACCCAGACAGGCAGACACCCCCCCCCTGCAGCTAAGCAGCTGGTCCCCTTCCTAGGCATTTACTGTTTTAGCAGCCCCTGTTCTTGCTTTCAAGCCAACTGAAGGTAGGCATACCCGCTTACATGAATCTCTGCAATGGCCGCAGTACCTCATGCACCAAAAACTATTCCATCATCCTCAGCCTGAGTAAACTCAAATCCAGATGCCAGCACAGCACTCCGACTTCCACTTATAGTTTGCCAAGTGGCAATGCTGTTGTTTCTCTTGGATGAGTTTGAGGCAGCAAAGGCCCCTGGGAAGCCGTGGCAATGGACTATGGGAGCTGTAGTCTTTTTCGGTGGTAGAGTTTTTTCCTCACTATCGCCCTGTGCCACCTCCTTCGTTACTAGCCTTCGTTATTTACAGAAACAATATGCCTTGGGGGCCATTTCTTTTTGTTTCCTTGAATGTTTTATTTCTTGTTTGTTTAATTTTAATCATGTTGTAAACCGCCCAGAACGGTGCATTGCACCAAAAGGGCGGTATATTAAATAAATAAATAGCCTCGTGCTTAAAAATAAAAACATATTCCAGAAGCGCAGCTGCGCAGGGAAAAAAAACCCTGCTGTTCTTTTCTATGGGGTTTTTAATGGGATGGAAATCGGGGTTGTGCGTGAATCAACCCATAGGAAAACTTCCCCGAAATGAAGCAGGCACCCCCTTAGTTCTCACCCTGAAACGGGTCTGGAAGCATCTCCAGCCGGGCAGGGCCTGAAACCTCCGTTTTCTTGCTTCATTTTTTTGCACAATACGCACCGAGAAGGGAGGAAAAGCAATTGAATTTCGGGCCAGGTCACATTGCCCGGCGGTTCGAAGAATTCTGGGAAATGTAGTTCCCTCTCGGTCCCTATTGTGGGCGTTTCAGACTCCCGTTGATATATTTTCTCTCTTCACAGGGTGTTAACTTGTATATAAAGAACCTGGATGACACCATTGATGATGAGAAACTGAGGAAAGAATTCTCTCCTTTTGGGTCTATCACAAGCACCAAGGTGAAAAACTGTGCCCTGGGCCTCCCAACAAAACGGAAAGCGTCTGCCTCCTTCTTTGACCCATCCACGTGTGAAAGAGATGTCCAGACCGGGAAGGGAGAGGAGGGACAAAAACCAGACTGACAGGGAAAGATCGAGAAGGGAAAGGGGGACCCCTAGTGGAAAGGGGGAGGGAAAAGGATAAAAAGGGACACGTGGAGGAGAGTTGGAGAGACACGTGGAGGAGAGTTGGAGAGAAACGAGGCAAGAGCAGGAGAGGGGCTTGGATCAGGCAGGACCAAAGTATAGAAGATGGCTGCTGCTGATGATCCTGAGGTTTTTCTAAATACTTTTGAAAGGATTGCCACAGTTGCAGGCTGGCCGCAAGACCAATGGGCACTTAGATTGACACCCTGCTTGACCGGATGGGCGCAGAAGGTCGTGGAGGCGCTTGACCTGGGCGAAGCTGCAGATTACGACAAAGTAAAGCAAGCCATTCTGGGGACCTTAAATTTGTCAGCGGAAGCCTATAGGAAGCGATTCCGGGAGTTAAGGCTGGAACCGGGAAGGTCTCCAAGGGCTGTAGCCCAGGAAATGAAAATGAATGCTGGGAGATGGCTGAAGCCAGAAATGCATTCTGCCGACCAAGTGGTGGAGCTGGTGGTTCTGGAACAGTTGGTAACTACTCTGGAGCCTGCCCTGCGGAGCTGGGTCACCAGCCAGCGACCCCTGACCCTGGAAGATGCCGTCACGCTCCTCGAAGCTTATTGGGAAGCTGAGGCCATCTGGGGTGTAGCTGCTGTTCCACCACAGAAGAATGGCCAAGGTCAAAAGAAGGTGAGCGGATCCAGCAAAGCGGTCCCAGTGCCTTGGGCGACTTTGGTTCCAATGAACGTCAAGCCATGTCCAGGGTGGTTGGGATTTGCTGCCCCCATGCGACCCAAGCAGATCCTCCCTCCAATATTTGATTGATTGATTGATTGATTGATTTCTACCCCCGCCCATCGAGACCAAAGGTCTACTCTGTGCAGCATGACAAATTTAAAAACAGTTAAACCAATAAAAATGCACTATAAATCCAAGATGGTAAGGTGTGAATTTAAGATACAGCATAATGAAGGATCCAGGGATCCTGTTAACCACTGCCGGGCTGGGCAGCCCATGGACGAAAGAGACCCATGAGTTTCACAGGAGGGGAAGAAAGGCATGGGAAGAAGGGCTGCCCATCCAATAGAATGCTTATAACCTTACACTTTTACTACTTCCTTATAGGTTTGTGTTTTAGGGCAGTGGTCCCCAACCTTGGGCCTCCAGATGTTCTTGGACTACAACTCCCAGAAGCCTTCACCACCACCTCTGCTGGCCAGGATTTCTGGGAGCTGAAGTCCAAGAACATCCGGAAGCCCAAGGTTGGGGACCACTGTTTTAGGGCATCCACGGTAGGAAGTGGAGAATCTAGTTAATGAGAGTCCCCAAGACAAGGTTTCCGGGGAGGTTACCTCTGGGACCATCAAGGTTTGTCACATACATGGTGATGTGAAGCTATGTCAGTGCCTGGGTATGGGTTAAGATACCAGGGTTGTGATGGAGGATGCGTTTCGGAGTTGTGCCTGGATCTATCAATAGAAATGTTATTTGGGTGAGATTGGGAGAGGATAGAAAACTTGACACGATTCACCCAGGAGACAGAAATTAACTGGGGTGGGTTAGTGGGATGCCGAAAGAGGAAGTGCACAATTGGCAACAGGAGGAATTTCTCCTGCATCATGCCTTGATGGCCACTCAAATCGGAGGGCAATGTACAATGTACCAGTGCAGGATTTGAACTACAAAAGGGATTACAGTATTATGTCAAGTAGTGAATACAGGGAATGAAGAACTCCAATTAGTGCAGCTATTAACTGGGCAACCCTTAACCTACCTTTAGCAGGACATCTAGCAATTGAAAAGATGTTGGCATGCATAAAATGATTTTTGGGGAGGGGCTGGGATTTATGCTGATATAGAAAAATATTGTAAGACTTGCCTTACAATAGGTAGATCTGAATGAGAGGAGGAGAAGACTACGATACTTATAGAAAAATTGATTAAGCAAGATTGGAATGCCCTCCAAGAGTATGACAGAAATGCTCCCCATTTCACTTGGGAATTAAATACCTTACCTAATTTAATCCACCTCTTTATCTCAACATACCAACAGTTCTAAATCTCAGGTGGTTAGATTGATTGCTCGTCGTAATGCGCTCCCAACGACTCAGATGTGGCGATCATTTCTCAAATGATTTCCCAAACCAACTCTATTGTGACTGTTCCATTAGAACTTGGTACACGATCTGTGAGCGAGTGGCAGAAAGTGCTGCACAGTATGCACGGTGCTGAGCATTCCGGTACAGAACCCAGTTACCCCTTATACTCTTGGAGTGAGGAGAATTTAAAGGAGAACAAGAATATTGAAACTGTTAAAGTAAAGAGTTACAAGCTGTTGCCAGAGGTGGAATTGTTGGATCTGTTTGGGTTGGGATTAGCAGACGTTAAATGTAATAAAGAACCGTTATTTGTACCAGCTACATCTTCTCCGTCTATTCTTCCCGCCGAAACTCCTGGCCTGCCTACACATATGAAAGAACCCAATCACAGTGGCGCCCAAAGTGGGGCGGGCCTTTGGACGGGGTGGGAAGAAATGACAAAGATGATGAGAACGATCGAGAGGCAGGAGCGGTTGATAGAAAATTTGACTGAACAGCAAACGATGTTGACCAGACAGATGATGAAACAAGAAAATGATGAAAGCAAAGGAGTAAGGAGCAATGTAGTCATAAAGAATGGCCTTGTGGCTGGCCCAGCGCCTATACGTATACAAAAAATGAGCGCAAGTGACGATTCCGAGGCTTACACACATTTGAGAGAGTAGCGGTGGTGGCAAGTTAGCCAAAAGAACAATGGACATTGATTCTCTTGCCCTGCCTTACCGGTTTGTTGCAAGAAGTAATTGATACCTTGAGCCCGACCGAAGCCGCCCAGTATGATATGGTTAAAATAGTGATTTTGAGAACATTAAATCTGACTGAAGAAGTGTATCGGAAAAGATTCAGAGAACTGAAGTTAAAACCAGGATTACATCCGTGAACCCTAGTGCAAGGCATGAGAGCAAATTTAACAAGGTGGATTAAACCCGAGGAGAAATCGAAAGAACAAATCTTAGAGATGATAATATTAGAACAGTTAGTGACGACTTTGAGTGGAAACATTAAGGGTTGGGTACAAAAAAAATAACCCGAAGCAGTTGGAGGAAGCGATCCGCCTAGTGGAGGATTACAGCATGTCAGAAGAAGCTGGGAAAGAGAGCTCCGCCCCTACTGGAGAACGTGGACGAACGCATGAGAAGGCGGCAGCCCAGCACTTGGTAGTGGATTTTGACGCAGCATGGAGGCTCCTGGAAATGTTTGTTCACACGGTTGCCCCTTTGAGCCTATGGGTCCATGACCAGTGAGACCTATTACGGTAAACAACCGGGTTTATGGGGGGGGGGCTTGTCTGCTACGGATGCGGCTCTCCCGGACACCTACGTCGGGACTGCCCAGGGACCAATTGTTCTTGGGTAGGAGGCCTGAATAGCATGAAGTCAAACAAAGAAGGGGAACAGTCAGGTTGGGAGGTGGTCCCTTGGGTGAATGGAGAGAAGAAGAAAGCTTTGATTGATACAGGGTGCGGGAAGACTTTGGTACGAAGTTTGAAAACAGAACAGTTAGAGGAGGGTTTTGTGGTTAAATGTATACATGGGGACACTAAAGCATACAAGACCATGTGGGCAAATGTGAAAGTGGGGGAAGAAACCAGAAGAATGAAGGTGGGGATAGTACTGGTACTCTCTAGAGAAATGTTGTTGGGGAGAGACTGGGTTGGGAACAAAGACGTTATCTAGTACCAAAGAGGGTTTGCAAGGGGAGTGTGCCCAGTCAGAAGAAGGAGATGATTTTTTATAGGAGACATCCAGAGAACAGACGCGCGCATGGCAACAAGGTGACCCCACCCTCCAAGAACATCTCAAAGCTGCAAGAGAGGTGGGGGTGATTGCGAAAGGAGAAAAGGGGATGGTGTTGGACAAAGGGTTTTTGTATCTACTCAGTGAAGAAGGGGAGAAATTGCTAGCAGTTCCCAAAAAATGGAGAAGCAGGATATTGAGTTTAGCCCATGATATACCTATGTCAGGACACTTAGCCCAGGACAAAATGAGATCAAGGATCAAGTGCAGGTTTTGGTGGCCGGACATGGACAAGGATATAGAAGAGTATTGCCAAACTTGCCCAGAGTGCCAGAAAACACAAATTAAACCCAAACCAGGTGCGCCACTAATGCCTATGCCTTTAATAGACCAACCATTTCAGAGAATAGGAATAGATATAGTGGGACCTTTAATGAAGTCTGCTGGTGGTCATACACACATATTAGTGATCGTGGATTATGCAACACGTTACCCAGAGGCCATCCCTATACGTTCTACTACAGCCAAAGTCCTAGCAAGAGAATTACTACAAGTTTTTACCAGGTTAGGTTTTCCTAAGGAAGTTTTGACAGACCAGGGGACAAATTTCATGAGTCAGATGTTAAAAGAGATGTGGCAATTATTGGGAGTAAAACCCCTACATACTGCTGTGTATCACCCGCAAACCAACGGATTAGTAGAGAGATTTAACAAAACTTTAAAAGGGATGTTGAGGAAGTTAGTAATGGAAAAACCTAAAAGATGGCATTTGTTAGTGGCACCGTTGATGTTTGCAGTTAGAGAAGTGCCACAGGCATCTGTTCGCTGTTAGGAGCACTGATCACTGATCACGCACATTTACAGTGGTTAAATAGAATGAAGGATGTGAATCCCGGCTGACTCAATGGTATCTAAGTTTACAACCTTTCACCTGTGAAATAAAATATAGGAAAGGTAGTGCCCATGTTAATGCTGACTACTTTTCCCGGCAGGGAGAAGGAATGATGAGCACTGGAGAGAGGATGGCCCACTCGTCAGGGGGGCCATGTGAGCGAGCGGCAGAAAGTGTGCCGTCCTCTGAGAAGGAACAAGAAGATCGAGGTGTGCAGACGGATGAAACAGGAGAGGCTAGAGATAGATGTGTGAAGCTGTTGAAGGATTTCCCCAATCTGATGGTAGGAGGAGGCCTGCTTCCTACTCCAGCGGATCCCCACGGGAAAGATAAGTACGAACCCAGAGGAGGATGGAATTGGGGAACAACATCTCCCAAAACGGCTTCGGGGATGAAAAAGAACCCAGCTGGTTCCAGTCCCTTTCTCCCCAGATTGGAGGGAACACATGTGAAGCATCCGTGCTGCAGCACAGTATGCGCGGTGCTGAGTGTTCCGGTACAGAACCCAGTTACCCGTTATAGCATTGGAGTGAGGAGAATTTAAAAGAGAACAAGACTGTTGCAACTGTTAAAGTAAAGAGTTACAAGCTGTTGCCAGAGGTGGAATTGTTGGATCTGTTTGGGTTGGGATTAGCAGACGTTAAATGTAATAAAGAACCGTTATTTGTACCAGCTACGTCTTCTCCATCTATTCTTCCCGCCGAAACTCCTGGCCCGCCTACACATAATTAAGAACCCAATCACGCCATCCCATACCTTCTTTTACTCTCCAAAATATGCAACAGCAAGAGAGCAATTCCTTCAAAACTGGCTACTGAAATATTCAGCCTTCATTGATACCACAAGACTAAAAGTTGCTTTTCAGCCATCTTTGCAAACATTGAGTTGTAGGTGTGTCTGTTTTAACTTTAACACTTGACATGGAGCATGGCCCAAATAAACTTGAAACTTATAAGACTTATCTGGAGTGCCAGCAGTCACAAGGAACACCAGAGTCAACGGCGAAGCTAGTCTCCATGCACTGGTGGAAAAACCATTTGAAAGGGTTAGGATAGACATAGTCAGTCCCCTGTACAAATCTGCCAAGGGACATGCGTATTCATTCTCATTAACAGTGCTCCTAAATACTTGGGAGGTTGTGCCATTTTGTTCCACTACAGTTCAAAGTATTGGTGAGAGAATTATTTTCTGTTTTTTTTCAAGAGGGAATCTTGGGGACGATTTCCCCAAGGAGAGGCTGGCTGATCAAAGCCCAAATTTCATGAGTCAGACCTTACCGCAGATATGGGTCCTCTTGGAAATCCAGTTGCTAAAGACCTCCACCTATCACTCCTCCCCCCCAGAACAATGGATTGGTGAAAAAGTTTAACCACACCCTGAAACAAATGAGCTACAAATTCGTCCAAAGGGAATCGAAGCAATGTTATTAACTCCTCTGATGCTTACACTAAAGCAGTGGTCCCCAACCTTGGGCCTCCAGGTGTTTTTGGACTACAACTCCCAGAAGCCTTCACACCATCTCTGCTGGTCAGGATTTCTGGAAGTTGAAGTCCAAGAACGTCTGGAGGCCCAAGGTTGGGAACCACTGCACTAAAGGACGTTCCCTAAGCTTCTATGTTTTATCCCCCTTTTGAACTCTTAACATGGGAGACACCCAAGGAGTGTATCAGATCTCATAAAAGAACAAGGAGAGAAGCAGCGAGATCAGTTTTGGTCCCTGGTACAACAAGTGTTGCAGATGAGGGACCATTTTACATCTGGGGGATGGAATAGCTGAAGGAAATTTAGGAAAAGCTCAAGTGTCTTAGAAAGGTCACCCTGTTGCTGAGGTGGTTAACTGTAGTTTTGAACCTGGGCAAAAGGTGACCTTGCCACTTCCATCCAGTTCAGTGTACAGTGGTGCCCCGCACAGCGAGGTTAATCCGTTCCGGATGGCGCGCAGCCATTTCGGGGCTTCCGCAGCGTTTTCGCGCACTCCCCTTGCTTACCAAGGGCGCGAAAACGCTGCGCCCCGGCCCCTTTCGGCTGTTCCGGCGGCCATTTTTTACCCGCCGAACAGCTGATCGGCGGGTCGCAAAGCGAAGGTCGGTAAGCGAGCAGCTTACCGACCTTCGCTCTGCGATTTTTGCCCATAGGGGCCATTGTTGTGCGATCACTTTAGCGATTGCAAGAGCGTCACCGTAGAGCGAATTCATCGCTCTACGGTGCGCTCGTTGTGCGAGGCACCACTGTATTTGTTTGCCCAATGGGAAGAGCCCTTTGAGGTGGTGCAATGAATTGGGCCCATAGAGTATGAAATGAGGCTCCTCGACAGATGGAAGCTCTTGCATATCTTTCATAGGAATGGTTGAAAGCATGGCGGAATTGGGATGATTTGTCCGGGGAGGCAGAAGAGGGTTATTCCAATTTACCCACATGCTTTTTTGGACTCTATGGGGCAGCCACAACCTTCCAGTGACTTATGGACCAAATTTTACAGCCAGTACAGGGCTTCACTGCTGCTTATTTTGATGATGATATTATAGCCGGTTGGTCCTGGTCAGAAAATCTAAGACCCCTACAGGGTAGATCATTCAATACTCTCTTCACTTTCCCACTTCTCCTTTACCAGATCTAGTATACTTCTGGGGTTACACCCATACATCATTTCAAAAGCGTGAACCCTGTAGTTATGCTCCCCGATTTCTCTGTATGGAACCAAAACGGAACAAAAATGGCCGGTTAGGGATTAATCGGTTTTCATTGCATTGTAGGTCAATGGAGCCACCGTTCCAATACGGATTAATTCTGTAAGTAGAGGGTCCACTGTATTGAAAAGGAAGCTTTAGCTGCTAAGTGGGCAATACACTCCTTAAAGTACTATTTATTAGGAGCTCCCTTTACTTTAGTCACTGATCATGCTCCTCTCCAGTGGTTAAATAGGATGAAGGATACCAATCCTTGATTAACTAGATCAGGGGTGTCCAACCTTTCACCTTCCCTGGGCCACATTAGAAGATGAAAATTTGGTTTGGGCCGCACATACATTTGGTCTGGGCCGCATGGGGGGGCAGCCCTAGCTGTCCTCTGCAGCCCCGCTCCAAACGCGCTTACCGGCAGCTGCGATCTCAGACAGCAGAGGCTGCCAGCTTCGACTCCGGCAGCTTTATGGGGCCGGGAGGGGGTCCACCTATTGATGGGGACAGCGCAATGCAGTCACGCAGCCCTCCTGTCCCCTCCCCTCCCACTCCTTCCTTCCTTCCCTCTCTACTGTTGTGACATGTCCCGGCCACATTCTGCCCACAAGCGCCGTGTAACTTGAAACTTTGGAATTTATTTAAAAATAAAAAATTGCACTGGGCCGCATTATGAGCTGACCTGGGCCGCATGTGGCCCTCGGGCCACGGGTTGGACAAGCCTGAACTAGATGGTATTTAAGTTTACAACTATTTGTTTTTAATGTGTGTTACAGAAAGGGAGATATACACAATAACGCAGATTATTTTTCCCGACAGGATGCTCAAAAGGAAAATGTTCAGGAGAAGACGGCACACTTGTCGGGGGGGGGGCGTGAAGGCCAGGAGGACGAGAGTGCGCCGTCTCCTCCAGACAACAAGGATGTAAAGGGCGAGGAAAGAGAGAGGGAGGTGTTAAAGCCAAGGGGTGATGAAGAAAGGGTTAAGATAGAGGTCTGCCTTACTGAGGAAAGGAAAGGAAAGTAGGAGGAGCAAATGATCGACTATGGGAAGAGGATATAAAAGTAGGAAAAGGTGCGCGGGACTTTTATATCGAGACTAGTAAGAGAGGAAAGGAGAAGAAGAGCAATCATGTAAGCAACCTATTAAAAGACTTCCCAAATCTGAAGGGGGGGGGCTTGCAACCGGATCCATTGCCTGAAAGAGGAGGAGTGACCAAAGAGACGGTGGTAGTTTTCCCGAGGGGACAAGGTTCCTGGAAGAAGGTGGTACGCCCAGATCCCACTTTCAACAAGCCACCCCCAGAGGGGGATTGGGCCCGCCACCCATGTTGTGGCACCATATGTGCGGTGAGAAGCGCCCCGTTGAGGAAGCCCACAGAAAAGGAGCGCTTTGGCCCGGCACCTCAATATTGAGAAAGGGCATTGGTTTTGACAATGTTGTACGTTTTGACAGACAGTTGAACGATTGGGATTCGTTTATTCCCACTGAAGTTGTTATTGATACACCCTTGTTAAATCTGAATAAAAATAGTGAAGGTTTGAAAGATACATCTGGTTCAGTTTCCGCGCCAATTTCGGGACCGTCCAAGAACCTTTTGATATCAGTGTTAACCGAGTTAAGGAAAGCCAAGCTAACAGTTGACGCAGTGAATAGTAGCCCCAAGAGCTGGCTCAATATTTGGAATTCATATTGGGCAACAGACTCATCAAACTGGTGTGAACAAAAGTGTGTGGATATTGAAAGAGAATTGTTGGCTGCCAAGTGGACAACCCGTCCCTTAAGATACTATTTGTTGAGAGCCTCTTACTCTTAATAACTGACCACGCTCCTTTGCAGTGGCTACAGCAAATCTCAAGTGAACCCACTGGGATCTGGTTTTGCAACCACATGCATTCTGCCAACAATATCGGAGGGCCAGGCATAGGCTAATGTTGCTTATTTTTCCTGCAGGGTCCCTGGTCAGAGATGGAAGAGGATATAGCAGCCTGCTTGGAGAGGGGATCCTGTGAGGATGGCAACGAGGGCATCCCTGGACCATGGCACCACTCAAAAACTCTGGAAGGGTTTCCCACAGCCAGTTTACCTCTGGACATGGGGAAGGGAGTGAGGTCAACACTTGGCAGGGGAGGAGGGTGGAAGGATAATGGTGGGAATGAGACTCTGCCCTCCCGAGCGCCGTCCATCCCATTTACAAGGAAAGAAAGAGCCTCAGAAGGAAGAAACAGAATGGGAAGGATGGCTTGGGAAGAAAAAGGAGAGAAGTTAGAAGTAGAGACAAAAGAAGAAGGTTCTCAGATAGAGGAAGGAGATGGAACTAAAAGGACCAAAGAGTTGGAACAGGCGGGAGTAAGAGGAGAGGTGGTTGGTGGAGAAAAAGTGCAGGAGAAGAGGGAGGACGATAAAAGGGATGAGAGAAAAGCAGAGGCAAAAAGGGGGGAACCCCCAGGATGGGAGTGGATATGGATGGAAAACCCCTGGACCAGTAAGTGGGAAAGACTGATGGTTCCCCAGGAGGAGGCCGAAAGGAGAAGGGGAACAACAGTGATGAAACCTTCTTACTGGGGAGAGAAAGAGGCCAGGGAGTGGAGACGCAAGATACGAGAAGAGAGAGTTAAAATAGAGTGGGAAAAGAGAGAACAAGCTAGATTGATGCAGGCGTACGAGAGGGAGAAGCCCTCAACCCTGGACCCTAGGAGACCCCGGTATCCAGAGAGAGACTGCCGGGACCGTTAAACGCCACCCAATGGGAGATGCCCGAGATGTCATTACTCATTGAAGCCCTCGTTGAAAAGGGAACGGACAATGGTTCATTGACTTTGAGTTGAATGTTCCAGTTGTGGTTCAAGATAATCATCCCTTTCGTACCCCCCGTGGGTACTGAGGAGCAGTTGGGCGTTAAAGTGAATGTTGCCAGTTTTTTTAGATGTTCCGGAAATAAATGTTGATGGTTTGAATGCAAAGAACGTGTCTGTGGTAATTGACCCCGATAGAGAGGAGAAACTGGGACCTACTAACAAAACCTCAGGGAGAGAAAGAAATGGGACTGAAGAGGTGTGAGAAAGGGGTCGGGAGGAACTCCCCTCCCGTGTGCTGTCCTCTCTACTCTGGAGAAAAAAAAGGGGGGGGGACAGAGAGAGGATTTTGGAAAGCACCAGTAGGAAACAGAAGGACGCCCCTAGGTGAAATGGACAGTTCAAGAGAGAAATAAAAGAATCGAGAAGAGAGAGGGAGAAAGTTATAGGTGGAAGAATATAAAGGCAGGGTGAAAGGGAGAGGAGCAGAAGAGTCGGGTGGGACAGAGAAGAAAAAGAAGGAAGAGCGGGGCCTGCCAGAAGGGTGGGAATGAACAGAGTTGGAGAAGCCCTGGACTGGGGAATGGGAAAAACTGATATTTCCCCTAGAAGAGGCAAAGAGGAGGAGAAGGGAGAAAGTTCCCTGAAAACCCTCGTACTGGGGGGAGCGAGAGAGGAGAGAAAGGTCTGCCTCAGCCCAGGAGAGGATGACGAAAGGCGAATGGAGGAACGGTGGCAGAGGGAACCTCCTCTGCGGGAGACCCATTCCGGGTCAGAGCGATGGAGGTGTGAGCCAAATGTCCTTATTGCCGATGTGTTGCCACCAGGGGCCACACAGGGACTAAAGACAAAATAAAAAACCCTTGCATTGGTAAAGGGGGGAAGATCCCTGAGTTTAGACAAAAGTACCTGGAATCCTTTCTTCTCCCCGTTGGAGGGGGCAAGAGCCTTACCAGTTGAAGATGCGCCTGTTGGGCCTCGGTTAATAAAGGCTAACTGTTTGAAGCAAGAAAATGGTTCCCACATGACTTCATTAGAAGGGGAGCAAAAGGGGGGGGGCGCTACCCAAGGACCTTCATGCTGGGAAAGATAGAGAAGGGAAAGGAGGAGAGGAGGCTTGAAAGGGAAAGGAGGAATGTTGGAAGGACACAAAGGAGGAGCAGGAGAGGGACTTACGTAAGGCAGAAGCGAGCAGGACGGTGATACCTGAGCCCAGTGAGGAGTCGGAGGTGATAGGGAAGACCCTTGGACAGGAGAGAGGGTCCGCCTCGGAGCACCCAAGGTGGAGGCTGAGGCAGCCACCCTACTGGAGGGAGCGGGAAAGAAGAGGAAGAATGAGGGCTACCGAAAGAGCAGAAAAGAGGCCTGCCGTCCCCACTCCCAGCCCCCTAGCCTAGTTTTCAGGGAATGTGCCAAACCCTTGAACTGGGAGAGAATTAGGGGGGAAATGGAGAAAGGAGCATTGAAAGGAGAGTAAGCCTGGCCCTATAAGCCACGTTGTGGTACCCTGTCTGATGTCCGTCAGGAAGTCTTCCGAGTGACGGAAGCGAGAATGTGGAAAGCTGTTTCATAAGAAGCCGTCTTTGGAGTCTTAGAGAGTTCTATGTTCATCCAAAGAGGTTCCTGTTGTTCCCCCATCCCAGTTTAATAAACCTGTTTGTTACAAACCTACATTTCCAAACACGGAGGCTGCAGTGGAAGTGTTGACAGCGGGACGCCCTGGGGCAATTACACTTACAGTATCTTTTGTATTTGGATACCTGCTCCATCTCCTCTGTTCCGTGTTTTAACCTCTTCTTGTTATGCAGGGCGCTTTGTGCGATGGAAGAGTGGCATGCATATCCTGCAAGCCTTGTTATCTGTGCCCATTAGTTATGGCTGCATCAAGAGTTTGAGGGAGCTAGAACTTAATGCTGCTAGTCCTTTCCATATGGTTTCTAGCCATTAGCAAGTCCTGGATCTCCTTGATGGATCTCAGGGATCAGCAGCAAATATCCTTTTGTTCTGTCCCTATTGAAGCACTTGGTCTAGGCTCATTTTTTCTCTCCTACAGATGGCAGTCCACCTTCTGGATCTAAAATGTACACCATGAGCTCCTAAGCATGTACCTTCCAGGACCCAAGTGGCTATTGTGGTTTTTCATGCAGAAAGTGAAACAGACTAATTACTTTCACTCCAACCAAATTCAGAAATTCAAGAAAAAGGTTTTGCCTCGTGATAGGAGGCAACTGCAGGAGCTGTTCAAAAGGTGCACAAAACACAGGAGGTGGTGTGTGATGAAGGAATGAACCACCTTCTAGAGGTGCATCTTCACCCCTCAGCCACTCCATCTTGGCCACAGGCTTCATTCCTGAGCGAACACACTGCGACAAGCTCTCTTTCAGTGAGGTTCACCTCTCCCCCAATTATTGGACAGCTATTAATCAGGTTAAGACACTGTGGGAACTTCATCTTGAAGTTTCCTAACATGGCTGTAACCACGCAGTCTTAAATACCTCACATCCTTTTTTTCTCCTGGGCTTGACCTCCCTCCCCAGCTCATTTTCCTTTAGAGCAGAAGCTGCCACCTTCTGAGGCTTTGTCTCCCTCACATTTTGAGGGACCTAACGCCCCCCTGGGGTGGGGGAATCATCCCCATGGCAAATTGTGACACATGGATCCAGAAGCCTCAAGAGATTGCCCTTGACGTCGCTCTCTGCCCTTTTCCAGTTGATTGTGGATGATCATTTGCTTATAGAAAAGGCCTAAAATGGGCCGAGATTAGTAGGTAGGATCATACTTAAATGATAAATTTGCATCCCCAGAGGTTTCTGGGAATGTGATTACACATATGTATTGGGGTCACACTCCAAGAGTCTATCGGCATCTTGTACTTTGTCCACCCTTGCATCCATCTGAACCTGAAATCAAGCATAAACAGAACCTGTTTATTACCAGTCATACATGATCACTTATGTTTTCCTTCTCCGTCAGTGATATACTGGTGATCCCACTGCAGAGGTTGGAAAAACCACATTTTTTGGACTGTAACTTCCAGAATTCTCCAGATAGCATGGCTTTCTCGCTCCCCCCGTTCAGTTCCATTGGCACATTGCTCCAGAATAAAAGACAGACACGAGGTTTTCGCAAAGAGAGGGGATCTTGCGGGAGCAGACCGTCTCCAATGTTTTTATTTCAAAAATGTTCAAAGCAATTCTTCAAAGAATTAAAAAAATAAGGCCCCTCTCTAACAGAGAGCACAAGATCTGCCTGACGGCTAGCCTGCAATGATCTCATGCCAAAATAATAATAATAATAATAAATTCACAGGACAGTAAAAGGAGGGAAAGGAGGCCTAGAGATAGCTTCGAAGGGTCCCTTTGGCCAAGGGTGCAAAGACGAGCAGCAAATTTAGGATGGGGGGAGGGGGTCCAGTGAATAGTCCCAGGCTATTATATCTAAGGGCAGGAGACGGAAAGGAAAGGAAAAGAATGAGGAGGAATTCACTGAAAAGGATGTTACAGGGAAAGAGGTTTTTAGGCAGACATGGAACGAAACTACAGAAAACTGATGGGGGATGGATGCGTCTGAGAGGGACACGAGGCAGGCGGTTCAAAGGGGTCCAAGGAGATCCGGGCAGAGTTTGTGAGGGAGGCCTCCTCCCTTTAGTGGGAAAACCAGATCCAGGGGGGCTCAGCTGATGTAGATGCGATGGAAATCATTCGCACCAAAGGCCGCATTGCACTTCGGACACTTGCGCTGGCGGGTGTCGTAGCGCGTCTTGACGCAGTCAAAACAGAAGACGTGGAAGCATTTGGTGAGGACCGCGTCCTTCTTGCGGGTGTTGCAGCAAGGGCAGGTGAGTTTTGCCTGGGCAAGCAAGCGGACAGACAAGGAGCAGGTCAGGCCAGGAGGCACGGCTTCCTCCTGCCACAGCCGGCCACCTCTGGTTGGCCAAGCCCGTTCCTCCTCCTCCCTCCACTCACCTTGTACTCCTTGATCTCTTCCTGAAGGATCTCGTCGGCATCCGCATACACTTCCACCTTGCGCTGCTTCTCCAGTTTGCGCCGCAAACGAGATATATCCTCCTGGGAAAGGAATGGCCAATCAGCAAGTCCGGGGAGCGGGAGAGACGAAGCCTACCTGTTCAGAAAGACCTCCTTGCATCTAGGAGG